AACAGGAGAAAAGAACAGGGCTGTTTCCCCCCCAGGCCTGAAACTGGTGGTGGAGTGGAGATAGATGGAGTTGGTCAGTCTGTAGACTGCTGGTTGGAGAGACGGTCTGCTGACCTGTATGGAGAGATCCAGTGGACTGCGTGAGCTGATACTAGAGCTTCACTCAGGGACCTGGAAGATGGAAGTCCAGTTAATAACACAGGTTGATAGAACCTGTCCATGATGAGCAAGCATGAAGCGACAGTGAAGAGGAAAAGCTCCCCATTGGGAAGAAACCTCCAGCAGAACCAGGCTCAACATGGCGGTCTTCTGCCGGACCGGTTGAGATGAGACCGGGAACGCAGTAAGAGTCCAGGAGGAATGAGGCTCTGATGAATCTTTAGCTACGATGATGGAGGAGGGGCTGGAGGGGGGGTTGAATCTGAATAAAGTCAGACAGCACATCCACCGCCTGCACCGTAGGTAGCAGCCAAGTTGTGGATCGGAGGCCTTTTAAGATGAACTTTGGATGCTGATTGGATTTCGTTGAGGCGTGGTTCAAAGCTGATTGGCTGTCGTAGGCGAATGAAGGCGAATAATCAGTTTATTCAGCTGAACTTCCACCAAGGCTCCATTTGAATAGAGCCTAACGGAGAAAGGCAAACAGACTATCAGAATAGAATTCAACTTTATCGTCATTACATCGTCAAGTTCAAAGCAAAGAAATTCCCTCTCTGCATTTAACCCCTCCCCTTGGGGAGCAGTGGGCTGCCATTGTGCGGCGCCCAGGGAGCAGTGTGGGATTACGGGTCTTGCTCAGGGACCCAGAGTGGAGGCTGTGGGAATCGAACCCTGTACTTGCAACCTTCTCAGAGCACAGGTGCGCTGCTCTAACCACTGACCATCACTTCCAGAATAAACAGGAACCAAATTTAAGTTTTAAATATTGTAGGAAAAGCAGCAGAAATTTCCTCCATGGAATCAGCAACAGTCCTGCTTACTGCGCAAAGTCAGGAGTTTCTCCTGAAAGCAATTCATTTTGAAAGAAAACATTTGATTTATCTCAATGTCAGGCTGACATTTTTCTAACAGATTGTTAGAAATAGTTTTGTTTGTAAAGCAGAACAGAGAGTAACTGCTCAGGTGTTGGAGAATTATTGCTGCCAGAGAACATGAATGTTCCAGATTCTCAGCACGACATCGGTTGCTGTACTCCATCAGTCTGTTTTCTGTCAAAATAAAATCCCGGAAGGCTGAAAAGTTATCATCCCCTTAATGGACTCTTTTATATAACATTAAAACTAACTAAAGTAGTTTTATAAATCCATTTAATGTGAAGCTCTAAGAGACCAAATAAGACTGGAGGAATTCTGTAGTAGGGCTGAAACAATTAATAATGATTAATCGATTATTTGTTAACTGGAATATAGAGACTGTAAAATATGCCTTCATCTGACAGAGCGACCCACTTAGAGCAGGAATTATACCAAGATTGTGAAATAATATATAAACATTTTGCATTTAAGTAAAAAAAAAAGTATTTGTCTGTCAATCTGCTCTATCCAGAAGTCCTCGAGTGGAAAAGTTTTAGTTTCACTTGGTTTAATTCGTTAAAAAAATTATTTAAGGAACTTTTTGCTATCAGATTATTAATAAAAAAAAAAGTGTCAGATTAATGGATTTGCAAATTAAGCGTTAGTTAACCCTGTAGCTCATTTCAGTCAAACCAAGTAGAAAGCAAGACTTTTTGCATCATTAATCGAAACCTTATTTCTAAAAGGTATTGAAGCTTAACAGCAGAGGGATGTCAGGTCACTGGGTTCTTCGTTCCCTCTCTCCCCTTTATGGATTTTTCTCTTTGTGTAGAACAGTACAGTCTGATCCAAGTGGACTCGTGACATGCAGGCATATGTAACATGTCAGTCTTTTCTGCCTCACACTCATCAGATCTGAGCTCCCCTCTCTGGCTGTGGGTAGATTCCTGCTTTACAGCAAACTGGTGTGGAGATCAAGCAGAAGAACCTTCATTTCCCATAAGTCAGCTTGGCGTGGAGCATGGTGGTAAACCTGGGTTTTTTCCCAAGCTTGCAGCCCCTACAGCCCCCATAC